ATAGTATTCTTTTCTGAAAAAGAATTTGAACTCAGGAATACCTCATCAACTTCACTGACACTGGAAAGCCACTGTAGAAATGATCCTCCTGTAGTACCAGCACACAGTAAGACAGGAATTCATTGGCTAGCTAGCTACTTTAACTACAAGAACATTCTTTTTTTTCACACTAGATGTTTCTGAACAGAACCAGAATGCTAATCGAAGGGCATATCCTTTCAGGCAGTACAGATACCTATTCTAAATCAATCTATAGAATTGAATGTTTTCACATATAGAAATGCACAATCTGAACTGTATTTGTTGACTGGTCTCTGTAATTAAATTAAAGGAAGATGGTCTTCTGCTTGATAGAGAATAAGCTTTTCTCAGGCTACCAGGACAAGCCCTCTGAAGAAGTGAGAATGAAGACCTTGGACCCACTGCAGGAGAGGATCTGGTTTGAGACCATCTTAAAAACCTGAACGTGCACAAGTCCATGGGACCTGATGAAACCCATCCACGGGTCCTGAAGGAGCTGGCAAATGAAGTTGCTAAGCCGCTGGCCATCATATTTGAAAAATCATGGCAGTCAGGTGAAATTCCCAAAGCCTGGAAAAAGGGAAATATAACCCCGATTTTCAAGAAAGGGAAAATGGATGACCCAGGGAATTACAGACCAGTCAGTCTCACCTCTGTGCCTGGCAAAATCTTGGAGCAGATTCTCCTGGAAGGCATGCTAAGGCACATGAAAAACAACAAGGTGTTTGGTGACAGCCAGCATGGCTTCACTAAGGGGAAATCCTGCCTGACCAATCTGGTGGCCTTCTATGATGGGGCTACAGAACTGATGGACAGGGGTAGAGCAGTTGATGTCATCTACCTGGACTTGTGCAAAGCGTTCGACACTGTCCCACATGACATCCTTGTCTCTAAATTGGAGAGACATCAATTTGATGGATGGACCACTTGGTGGGTAAAGAACTGGCTGGATGGCCACACACAAAGAGTTGTGGTCAATGGCTCAATGTCCAGCTGGAGAACAATAACGAGTGGTGTCACTCAGGGATCGGTGTTGGGACTGGTGTCGTTCAACATCTTCGTCACTGACATGGACAGTGGGATTGAGTGCACCCTCAGCAAGTTTGCCGATGACACCAAGCTGTGTGGTTCGGTTGATACACTGGAGGGAAGGAACGCCATCCAGAGGGACCTGGACACGCTTGTGAGGTGGGCTGATGCCAACCTCATGAAGTTTAACCATGCCAAGTGCAAGGTCCTACACCTGGATCAGAGCAATCCCAGGCACAGCTACAGGTTGGGCAGAGAAGAGATTCAGAGCAGCCCTGTGGAGAAGGACTTGGGGGTGTTGGTTGATGAGAAAATGAACATGAGCCAGCTGCAGTGTGTGCTCGCAGCCCATAAAGCCAACGGTATCCTGGGCTGCATCAAAAGGAGTGTGACCAGCAGGTCGAAGGAGGTGATCCTGCCCCTCTACTCTGCTCTCCTGAGACCTCACCTGGACTATTGTGTGCATCTCTGGTGTCCTCAACATAAAAAGGACATGGAACTGTTGGAACAAGTCCAGAGGAGGGCCACGAGGATGATCAGGGGACTGGAGCACCTCCCACATGAAGATAGGCTGAGAAAGTTGGGGCTATTCAGCCTGGAGAAGAGAAGGCTGCGTGGAGACCTCATAGCAGCCTTCCAGTATCTGAAGGGAGCCTATAGGGATGCTGGGGAGGGACTCTTCATTAGAGACTGTAGTGACAGGACAAGGGGTAACGGGCTCAAACGTAAACAGGGAAAGTTTAGATTGGATATAAGGAAGAAATTCTTTCCTGTCAGGGTGGTGAGGCACTGGAATGGGTTGCCCAGGGAGGCTGTGAATGCTCCATCCCTGGCAGTGTTCAAGGCCAGGTTGGACGAAGCCTTGGGTGACATGGTTTAGTGTGAGGTGTCCCTGCCCATGGCAGGGGGTTGGAACTAGATGATCTTCAGGTCCTTTCCAAGCCTAACTATTCTATGATTCTAAGTCAGGCCATTTTCCAGAACAGAAAAGCATGCTTTCCTAAATAACCACCTCAGCCTCAACCATGCATATAGACATAAATCCCTAAAAATTCAGGCCAAGGAGGGTACCTGATGCACCTACTGTGTATTCACAGACCGTTAATTTTAACCAAAACATCCTAGTTGATGCCCAAAGACCTTAGTGAGGGAAAAGCACTTCTGCACTTAGAAGACTATATGCCACAGACATAGGGTTGGCAAGACTTAAGGAAGCCCTGCAGTGGCAAGGAATTAATCATCTGAGATGAACATAAATGATCCTAGCAGATGAACCACACCTCATGCTATGTGAGGTGAAAGATCCACAGAACCTGCCAACCTGACTCAGGGAAAATTCGCTCCCAAACCAACTAAGACAATCTGTAATCACTCTCTATACTACCTACAAGGAGATCTTCCGCTCTGGCCAATCTCTAATGCTGCAGGGGAAAGCAATTAATAACAATGAAAAGAAGCAGCATGCAGAAATCTTTGTTCATTGCATAAGGGAGGAGATTATATCTGCCCTGATCATCTTCAGATAGCTCACTGGAAGTCTGGGCCATGACATACACGTCTGTTAATTGTCTTAATGTGGAGTTGCTAGCTATAACCTTTTGAGTGCAATGTTTTCCCCTATGTAAAGGGACAACCAAGGCTAGCTGCACAGGGACACAGCCATCAGTCCCAGGCTTATGAAAAGGCTTGAAATGATCACAACTTTATCTGTTCCTTCCCCAAAGGGACACTCTCACATTCAACAGACCTCGCAGCCAGAAAGCAGCTCCTCATTTCAAGACTGAATTAACTGAACTTCCGCTTCTGTCAGCCAGGTGCTATCAGGTATCTTCTGCAGAGTGACCTCTCAGCCTCCTCTTAAATTAGCTGAATGAATACTCTAAATTCTTTAAGTCCCTCAAACCCAATGCTTGTTTTCAAGCGTTTAGCTCATTTTACAGCCCAGCTTGAGCAGAACAGGACACATCGCCTGAGGAGGAAGCTTAGAAACAGCGCTGTTTCTCATTTTCATGGACCACATCAGCTCTTTTTGTCATAGCAAAGTAATAAAAATTCAAGTTAAAGAAATTATCTGTGATGCCACCCAAGTCCTTCCACTAGCAACTGCTTTTCAAAATGTGACTTACTGCATTCTCCATTCCAATATACACAGGCTAGGGCTTGACTGTATTAAAAAACACTGTTTTGCTGGAGGAGAAATATTAAACTAGATGATCACTCTTTATCAGGCCTTCTTGCTTACTTCCTCACTAATCCTTGCATTGGACTTGACCAGCAAACATTATACATCATTGACTACATCGCTGATGGAGATTTGCCTGCCCCATCCTCTCAGCGTATGGAGAATAAATTTACCATGAAAGTATCTGAAAGAGCCTGAATGAATTGTGGTGAGAAGATGCTCACCTGTAGATGCTGTCACAACTGGAAGCGGGGAAAGATTCTTCAGTAAGTATTTTAGGCAGTGCGTAAGCTATGAAGCTGAAGAATTTTTCTTTGCTTGTACAGAGAAAAAGGGGAAAAAAAATGTAGAGGAGAGATTTTGCTCAGGGGATGTCAACTGCATTGCTGATTGAGGTGGAAAATCTGTGAAGGAGCCCCTTGTTAGAACTGCTGGCAGTGTATCATCAAGCACTGTACATGCTTTCTCTGCACCAGGAAGGGATTTCTCATTTCATGTATCATTCAGAACTTGCTGTAACCCTTCCAAAAGTCACATTACATTGTCATACACTCCCATTAACACAGAGACCATCACTTCATGAAGAAACTGGCTGCTTGGGAAAACAGGCATAGGGAGCAGGTGCTACAGGTGGCCTTTTCACATTGAGATGCTCCACCAATACACTCAGCCAGGGAGTAGTGTTTCTGCTGAGGTTGAACTGCATCTCCCCAGCTTTCATCACCCACATGGGGCTTGGTACCTGGGTTCCCCAGGTCTTTCTAGCATCATTCTCCACCAACAACATATCCCATGCCAATTCTAGTACACAACATTCCCAGCCAAAACACAGGAGCTGCTGTCAACAACAAATTTTCTGAAACCTAAGGAAATCTCAGCAACATATCTTAAACTATGGCTATATTGGGTTATTGGCTATAACCCTATTCCCTAAAGAGAGGAAGGCCAGGCTATACCGTATCTTCTTCATAGGAAGGAGATCACTTTTTCCTTCAGCAAAAACACTACAAAGTAAGTCATGCTAAAAGTACATGCTATACTGCTAAAGGCTTCACTTTTTAGTTGAATTATAAAAGGCCTGACCAAAGTAATTTTTGTGCCAGCATTTGCACATCAACTCCAGTATGCTAGCCGAATACCAACTCAGGTTCTGCCACATGAAGAGAAAAAAAAAAAGTCTTGCTGCTGATTCTGTTGAATAAATTAGTTTAAGTAGTTTTTACTACTGTGCACTAGTGACATATGATATCACACAGTTGCCATACTCTATCCTAGAAGTAGTCATCACGCATGTGTGAGCAGTCTTTGCATTGCGCTTATACCAGGCTTTTTTAATTCTTTGTGTGTCCTGTGGGATGAGATGAAGTTGCTATATAATAGGAGATTAATTATGCTGCTATTTAGACACAATCTCGCTGATTCTTCCTCTGACTTCTAGTGCAACAAATCAGTGCAAAAAAGTGATGGAGCTTTGCACCAGCCAATACAAAATAGTAATTAAACTGAATTGCACTCATGCCTAATATAAGCAGCTAAATACACAAACCATCCACTGTCCAAATTCACAACAGACAAGAATATGGCTCACCTGAGTTAGAAGAAACTGGAAAAGGGCATTTTAAGGTACATCATTTGTTTTTTTGCTGTTACTAAATGAAACATTTCACAGGACATACTACAAGAGTCCGGCACTACACTGGTGGATCTATTGCAGGTGTAAGCTATTTTCTTTGCTTCCTGAATCTAACCATTATGATGACGTTAGTACCCTTTTTTTTTTCTCTTTCAGAACTAGATCCTTTCCAAAATTGCAAAGTCTCTGTCTACGGAAGCAGTGTTGGAGCCCCAGAACGACAATGACCAGGCAATGCTGAGGCACGTTGTCTCTACTACTTCTCCTATTCTTCACTCAGGTAGTAGCTAAAACAGCAGTTTCATTGGTCAGGAATGCCACCACATCAATGTTTCAAATTGCCATTCTAGAGTGGGAAAATGAAATAAACATAAGTTAGACTAGGATTTATAAATTTCCACACCTTCTATTTTTTTGCCCATTGCATCTACCTGAATGTGCTTGATAATCTTTCAAGGTCAAAGAAAAACATCAAAATTTAATTTGACCACTGTTTTCCTTTAATCTTTGCAGTTTCCATGCGTCTGATCTTATCAAGTTACAAAAACATTGCCCTGCTACAGAGGCAGAAGTGACCAAGGAAGCTGCATGAATGTTGGATATGTTTTTTAGAATACAAACAAGAAAACACTGATAGGGAAAGGGTAATTCAGCAACATAAGCTATGTAGTTTGTAGAACATGCCACCACCAACTTCCACCCCAAAACTGTAGATATTTAACAAGGCATCTGTTAGTAATTAAGCAAAATGAGGCTATATCCACAGCTAGATTATTATTCACATAAAGAATAAATTAATTATAAGTATTTAATATTAAGAAAGTTGTGTAACTGTACACACTGCCCGTGTTCAATTATGGCCCATAGGTAAAAATTAAAACTTTAAATAGTTGTACCAAATATCACTGGTTTAATAGTTGATTTGTTAACTTCACATACAGTCCTTGCAGTCCTAACCCCACCTATCGGCTGTGCAGCCCATGAAACATTGTGTTCAAAGAATAGCTTTAATAGCAAATTGTAAATAGACTGACAGAGGTATGTCAATGAAGCCTAAAGAGCAAAAAGAGCTCTAAAAAGAGAAGAGTAGAACAAAGCCTTGAGGATTGGTGGCCTGGCTACTAGAAACTCTCAGATCTTTATCTTAGTCCCGGTAAAGTGGATTGGATCACTTCACAAAAACTTTTCCTCCCTCTAAAAAGTTGTGAAGCTTGGGTTTATAGTTATTGTCTGCAGGTCACAGCCAGCACCGATGACTGAGTGATATTAAACACCAATGCCAGTGGCATTAGGTGGTATAATGCTAAAACAGTCAAGCCCTTCCTAGAAGTGCTCAAGTCATTTGAATGAACAAATACATCTTGCTCTACTGCTTTACTCATAAATTGTTCCCTTATACTCTGCTAAAAAAAAAATTTGCTTGAAGAAGTATGACAGGATTTGTACCTTTAAACTCATTTATGTCTCCATTTATTCCTTTAGGATAAAAATCTTCTCTTGATGTTATTAGTAACAATTAAAAAAAAAAGGGCGGGGAGGGAAATGGAAGAATTTTTCTAAAGATCATGTATTGTACAGAGCAACAGTGGTTTTCACATGCTTTCACCATGGGACTCTCAGTTTTAGAAAGAATCCATTGTGAGATGGAGCAAAATTTGCACAAGCAGCTCAGAAACACCAACGGTATTCAGGGGACAGCCAACTTCTTCTGTTTTATACACTGCTTAATCCCAGTTGGTATGGTCATTTGCTTCAGGTATTTTCTGTTGGAAATACTTGCCATTACCCAGAGCTAAGAGGAGTGGCCAGGATTCCAAAAGCAGTGATGGCATTCAGTTCCCCCAGATCTCTTCTGTGACACTGTCTATGCTCTGGATGTTCACAAGTTACAAAGAAATAAAAACAACAAACAAGCAAACAAACAAAACCCCACAAAAAATATTTTATAGGCAGAAAGAGTATTTCAGGAGAAAAAGGTTTAATCACTAAAGAGAAAACCTCCACCTTCATCATGGACAGATGTTTCTAAATTTCTTTTCAAACATATTTATTTTATATACTCTTTGACAACATACTAAAAAAATGTCTTAATGCCACAGACCTATTCAGAAACTTCAAAAGCTGAGAGTTGATGGTATGCTGCACTTACTGTTTTGATGAGTTTACACTCCAAGAAGAGGAAGGAAACATCCCCCTGCACAGCATATGGCATCACTACAGGAGATAGCAACAAGAAACGACCTTCAAGGGACCATCTGCCAGCTCTGCTCCAGTCACACCTCCTCCTTGCCCACAACATGACCCTTATACCAAGGAGACCAGCCAAGGATGCACATGGGAAACATCCTAAACAGTTAAAGCTCGTGCTAGGCTTGCATCATTCAGTCCACTTTTGTTAGAGTTTTTCCCATCAAATGCCAAGAGCATTTAACCTTTAACACTGTTGTCCAGGAGCATCTGAACATACCACTGAAACCATGGCCCAGAGGTGGTTATCCATTCCTCACTGCTTCCAAATCTTCAAATATTGTTTCAAAGAATAACAAAGGGAGGAAACTGCTAAGACAAAATGTGCTCTTTATGGCAGATGGTACCACAGGATAAATGGCTGTTGGTCTGCTGTAAATAATTCATCATTGTCAAGGTGGTGCCCCAGTCATCTCAACAGAAGAATATGATACTAAGAAAAATGTAACATTTGTCACAGAACTACCACATGCATCATGGGGCTTTCTTTTTAACCCAAGTTAGGCAGAAGAATACTATTCATGGGTTCAAGCAAGACTTTAAGGATGCACAAGAACACCTTCCTTACACAAGCACCCCTGTGCAAACTGGCTGACCCTCATAACCAGAGAGGAGTAAGCTGAGTGGCACTGACTTTCCATTTGCTTGTGAGAAGGTGAACAGAGAATGAAAGGAATGGACAGAAGCCTTGTTCCTCTTCTCTCCTAAGCTTCCAGTGTGGTAGCCAGTGCACATCGTGTTCCCTGTACATTTAGACTACCTAGAGTAAAACTGAAGTAGTGGGACAACTGGGACTCCCAAGACATTGCTCAGGCTCACAAGTCCTAGGCAAAAAGACTAGGATAGGGCAGCTCATGCCACAGCCCTCTACCGCTGTGTTCATCCTCCTGTTTGGGGTCATATGGAAATAGGTGGGGAAACAGGCAGAAGGTAAGTGGAAGATACGTTTCTGAGTACTGCCCTTACAATGTAGCTATGTTTCCTCTACGCAGCTCTGAGCAGTCCAGTGCTATAAGAACTATTATTTCCAAATTACAGGCAAGGACAGCCAAACAAGGAACAGCATTAGTTGACGCACAGGGGAAAATCCACCTAAAGAACTGTATACACAGTTACTTGTTCCCCACACTTGTCTCCCCAGTAACGGTATGAAGACCACAGACTGCCTACCCTGGAAAGGTGGCTTAAATCACCTATTAATCTCCTGCCAGAAAAAGTCCTGTAATCCATCTTAAGTGCCTAACGGCAGTATTGAATACATCATTAGGGGTCTCCTTCCTCTGTACCTCCTACAAAATATACGAGGGCTGTTACAGCTCCCAGCTTGAGAGTATGGCTATTTAGACACAATATTTAGGTTTTTTTTAATCTCCATAGTTTTTGGCTGCTGTTGCTTGTGCACTCCAAGCAACAATGAGAAATGCTTCTCTACCAGCCATAATGGATGGGGCACAGGATCAGATCGAAGGATCTCTGATACCTGCCCTGGGCAGACACGCTACCCTGAACAGCAGGCATGGGCAAGCTGACAGTGCTGTTCCAACCCATAGAAATAGAAGGTAGATCTGAGATATGGGATGAATATAGCATTCATTCAAACAAAAAAATACTGTGCAATCTTGTAAGAGGAGGTGGGTATCAATAGTGTTCTCCCCTCCCCCCCTTTTCTTTCCTCTTGTCACTTCTCTCTCATTTCTCCTCATTTTACCCACATTACAGTCGTAGCTGTATAAATGACAGGCTGCGGCCTAGCATCATGTGACAGATCATCCTACATCAGCTCTGAAAAATGGAGATGCTGTCAACTGTCTGGTTCTTCTCACATTCACTGTCAGCATCAGTGCGTTCAGGCAGCATGTCACAGTCATCTGAACAAGATGAATACAGTACTGTGAACATCAGCTTGGGAACCAAGTCAATCAAACATGTGACCACAACCAAACCACACAGAAGCATTTGTGCTGAGAAACCGCCACAGAGAAAGGGTTTCTAGTGCCCTGCTATGTACTGCCATTGGTAATTTTTAATTACAATATCTGCTTAAGCTAGTTTAAAAGACAAAGAGGCATTTTTGTGGTGAGGCTTTTTATACAGAAGCTTGTAAAGACAATCTCGGCAGCCCTGGGGTTGAAGACAGCCTCAACACGGACTAAAGCTGTCTTGCTGTTCCTAATCTCACTGGACTAATCTCACTGGCAAGCCCCAACAGTGAAGCAAGGGGATTAATTCTCCTGTGCTACCAGCATAAGCCTCTAACAGAGGTGGGTCAGAGGAGAAAAGGTTGCCTCTTTTCCCCCACTGTTCAGTACAGCTAATCTGGAATGAAGATGAAATTAAAGGGACCAAAGAAGAGGCTGTTGTCATTTAATTTCTATTTGGAAAAGCTGAAATAGAAGTGTGCCATGAGATGGTTCAGTGCTACCTGTTCACAGGACAATATGGGTATGCACTGCCTCTTTGCCTTCACCCCCTCTTCAACGCACCCATTATTACGCACCCCTGGGCTGCGTACCCCAGCTGAGTCTATTGAAGGTTGCACACTCCTTATCGAGGCGCATTGAAACAAAGAGGCCTTTCCATGCGCCAAGAAGCTGCAGAGTGAAAAATGGTGTAGGGCATGAAATGGGAAAATTAATGTTTCTCCTTTTCAACTGTATTTCATCAAACAATATCCATAGTTTTTTCTCCTTCCCATCTTGTATTCCTCTGTCCCCCAAATTTTTCACTCATAAATATGTGCAGGTCTTTATGTGTACCTCTTACAAAATGCTGGTATTCTGTTGTCAGCTACAGGTTGGTCTCAGAGCTGCAATCACTACACAAACAAGCAGGAAAATATTAACCCATTGTGCCTGTGCTGAAATTAGTTTCAACATCAATGAACCAATGCAGTGGGAAAACAACAGAAATGCCTTTAGCAATGCAGTGATAAAAAGCAGCATTCACCCAGCTGAAGTGGCATTTATGGGCAAATTTTTGAGCACTGTCCCAAAATGAAAAATGTGTAGTACATTAAAATGAGTATCATAAAAACATCAGGGAAAATGCCAAAACAGAAATTTTCTTTGTAGCAGTCAGAGAACAGCCCTACTCAAAGAGAATAGGACTTCAGCTCAGACAAAAGAAGACTGTTTCAGCTGGAGGTTCTCCAACCAGAAGATCCATTTGAATTGTCAGTGGAACTCTGGTCTGTCTCTGGCAGCTAATACAGATATTGAGCCTCTTTCTTGGGTGGCATAACCTCTGCTACATGGTCATGCTACCTACAGCACAGAGGTAGGGGAAGAGGAACTTTATTTTCATTTACAGAAGCAGTTCTGGCTCTATCTTCCTAACAGAAAGTGATGGGGTAAACTGAAGGAAAAACTGCACAACATGCCGTTAACAATAAAGTGACTTCATGATTGCTAGGACTGCTTCTCTCAGCCTTGCTTGGATCATCATCTCACTTCATATCTTAATGAGAGTACAATCTCATTCAGTACCTTATCTGAAAGTGAAAAATTAGGTAAGCCATTTTCAGATAAGTAAATTCCCTGCATAGCCACATCCCCATGCATGGTCATACTCAGAATGGAAGCAGATTAATGGTGGCTAAAGACCGTTCCCTTCCATGAGGATATATGACTCCTCTGCCCCTAATTCACTTTCTGAAAAAAGGAAAATGCTCCTTACTTTCTAGACATAGAATGCTCCTGCAGCTGAGGTGGGCAATATATGTGGAACACGATACCCATTATTAAAAGCAGCAGAAAGTAAGAGTTTACTTAAATTAGTGCAAATTTTCCCAAATTCCAAAAGACAACCACCGTAATTCCTGCAAACTTCTACCCTTCTCCCCAGCAGGGACAGCTGCTGAATAGAGAGGTTATGTTCATGTGCAACTGTGGATATAAATCAAATGAAGACCCTACTTCTGAAATATATACCAAACTACACAAGCTACTACTGCTCTGTGATTTGCCTAAACAAACACATAGATTTATCTAAATAGCTCCCTGCACTGACAGGGACCCAAAACATCTCAGCATGAGTGGCTGAAAACTAGAAAGTGCAATTAGCTCAGAGCTGGAGGGATCGTATGAATTGTGGAAAGTTTCTTCACTTTTATATCACATCCCCAGCTCCTGCCACATACACATAAGAAAATAAGCCTAGTTAAAAAACTAGGCTGAGACCATACTTGATTCCACTAATATCCAGACCTCCAGATTTAGTCCGTTTGGGAGGCAAAAGAATTCTATTTTAGATCATGAAAGATAGAACAAAACTGATTTTTTCCTTTGTACCAATAGTATTTTTACCAGTAACACAGGAAACATACTTTGTGTTTAATTAAAAAATCATGCCTATTGAAACTTCAGAACAATCTATACTAAAAGAACTAAGTCTTCAGGACCTAGCAAATAGGACTTTTATTTGCAGTAAGGTACAGTTACCTGACATACCAAGTTGATGGATATTTTTTAAATTAGGCCTCATTCTAAAATGCAGGTGCTCTGCTGCCAGCATCTGAGTAATGCGCTGGCTCGTTAACAGATCTCTTTGTACGAGAAGAGGTAGAAGATTATCCCTAAGCTCAAGTCTCCAAGCCAAACAGACACATTATTCTTGCTGTGCTCAA